ACACACACACACACACACACACACACACACACACACACACACACACAAGCTCACACAATCATGACTCACTCTCGTTTTGTCTGTAGTGGAATTGGAACCTCGTGTGTGTATCAATGAGCAGGCAGCAGCCAAGGCATTAACTATAGGACCGAGCTCATTTGTATTCTCTACCGGCCCCCGGGCATTAGAGTGAACTCGGATGTTATCCGTGGTCTTATGTAACGGTAGGTGGTAATTACATTTAGTGTGTGTGTGTGTGTGTGTGTGTGTGTGTGTACATCGAATATGTACACACATTTACAGCAGAACTGTGAGCTCACGTGTGCATTTGCGTACCTGAAAAACCCCTTGCAGCCCTCACAGGTCATGGCGTTGAAGTGGAAGCCGGTGGCTTTGTCGCCACACACGCCGCAGATCCGCGGCACGTTCCTATCGAACTCATCAGGGGCCAGAGTGGATGTACTCACAACTGTGGACTCCATCACTAAAAAACAGGAAAAAAAAGAGAGGTCCAAAGGAGAAAGACAAATAAGAGAGAGAGAAAGAGTAATTAAATCAGCTCCTGGTTGTACAAACTGTTCACTTGCTCAATAAGAAAAAAAGAAAAAAAAAAAAAGGAGGAAAAACATAAATTAGACTGCCAAATTCTAACATCTGAAGTACAGACTTTTTGCACTTTACAACAAAATGATGAAAGTAATTTAAAATTACCGATCATAATATTTTCGATTAAGCGATACAAAGTTGCTGTAAAAACTCGACACCAAGTGAGTGGCGTATCTTTTCACCCGTCTGCATGTCAACCAAACGGAGTTCCTTCCTTCAGGACACATTAATAGTGCCCCGTCTCCCTTTCGGAGCGGAACAGGGAGCCGTATGAATCAAGTAGGAAAAACTTCAAAATGCTGGATCTGGGTTACATTTGATTACATAGTGCTCCCAGTATCCATTTCACTAAACAGCCTCGTTAGAGGAAGAAAAATAGGCACGTCCCTGCAAGGCTAGCATCCTCATAAACAAACAGACAGACAGACACTGTCCCTTTTTCACAAAGCGCCTTTCTTATTCTCTTCTTTGCTTCCACTGCAAAGTAAAAGTGAAGCAAGGAGATTGAGGGCCACTCGAGGGGAGCGTAACTAAACCGATACAAATCTCAACAAACTCACAAATCAACAGCCAATGAGGTAAGGGCCCAGCTGAATAATTTAAAATGTTTTGACAGATCACTTCATCATTCATGTCTAATTAAAAACCACCGGTCCTGCTTAAAGTCTCACACACACACACACACACTCCAGGAAATGCAAACAATGTTGTTTTTCCTCAGTACAACTGAGAACTATATGAACATTATGCCTTTAAAACCAAATTCTGTCCATGAGCAATCGTATGAGCAGGACATGTAGTCCTGCTGTTTTAAGAAGGCAAACAGAGGAGCTTTTCAGTTCCTCTCTGGTGCAGGCATCGTGGACAGCGGTAACTCAAAGTGTGTTGATGTCTTGCATCTCAGCACCACATGCTTCAACCGGAACATCTGATACAACGGCCGTCACGGTACACGGCGTAACAGTAAACACGAATACAACTGGAAGGACCGGCAACCAACAGCAAATATTTGTGGAGGGAATACAACTATCGGGTTACATTGAACTCCGATACAGACAACAGACCACACAGCAACTCTTCAAACTATTGGTCTCATCACCGAGGTCCTGGAACAGTGAGCTCTGGCCAACTGGTTTAAGAACTCAAAAGCAGAGCAGGGTTAAAACCACACTGTCTGATTATCGTAACATTTGTTTCGCTCTCAGTGGAACCTTTTTACTGTCACTTTTCACAAACACTGTGAAGACTCCTGTGACGGACAAGAGTGTGACCTAAACTCTGCTGTTTCTCCCCCCTCCCCCCATTGTCTCAGTGCACAACTTGTTTCTTATCTCCCACCCACCATCTCACATTTCCCCATGCAGAGGACAGGTACACATGTTGAGTCAAAGCTTTACCAGGCCAAGACTTGAAAGGCTATTTGGAGTTTGTGTGAATGAAAGCCACCAAAAAAAATAACAGACTGTGGCACATTTGAACAGGATGTTGTTCTGCAATTGGGGTTTAACCAAACTTCCTGTGTAGAAATATCATGGTTCTTTAACAAAAAAAAATATTTTGTGGGATAAAAAAAAAAACACAGCTTCTATGTGAGGTGAGTCACTCACTCGATGACATGATTGCCAATTTTTCTGTCCAGGATAAGTTTTCTGAACTTACGAACCCTTGCAACGTGTGCTCCAGCTGTTCCCTGTCACCATATTTTCGTTATTAGCATTTTGTATGACGGATAGACATGACCTAGAACATTTGTGTTGACCTCGATATTACCCGAACATAAGAATGTAACCAATATTTCAGTCAACATGACAAACAGTAGGGTTTTGTCTGATTATGTTTGATCTATGTTAAATAAATTATTTATATATATATATATATATATATATATATATACACACATATATATATACACACACACATATACATATATACATACATACATACACTAAGGAAATAAAAGTTCATTGCTCTTTTAATGGTTATACTTGCATAACTATGCTATTACATCATTACATCAGTGGCATAAAATGACAATATAAGTCATTTAAATAAGTAATTCACCTGGGAAGTGTGTTAAAACATGTTCGTTTGGTGGCTTTGTAGTGTTGAACAGTGTTGGACAGGTCTGTCACACTTTATCTTTTTAAACACATTATTCTGGAATCGCGCTGACAGAGATGACACACCATCAACATACAGACCCAACAGAAAGAAAGAGCATAGGGTTATTCCCGCCATGTCATGTAACACGATACTGACCGGTATAAATGGCCCAGCAGGTTGTCGAACATAAAATCTGTTCTACGGCATGAAGGCAAAACTAATCCCAGCAGGCATTCGCACTCATCACTCACTGTGAAACCAACAGGGAAAACAGCCATTTGCTTTACCGTATCATCAACTGATCGGTAAAGC